CTCAGGCTTGAGGGTTGTTATAATTTGTTAGAACTGGTTAGAATATACAGTGGATATCCTCAGGTTTGAGGGTTATTATAATTTGTTGTAATTTTTGTTACTTGTATATTGTCATGGATGGAATTTGCTTACAATGCTCCAGCTTTCCCGCATGGACCACTGCAGAGGATTGAGGGCACATAAATTGAGAGGAGAGAATCCTGGAGGGGTGGAGTGTGGATAAAGTGAAGGTGCCTGTGGCCAGGATTCTCACCTGTCCCTGGTTGGCTAGCTCACTACACAGGTGTGGGCAATGTGTCATTATTGACTCTATATAAAGAGCTCTACCTAGTGCTCTGGGCAACACGGTGGCATGGCTGCAAGACAGCAGAGGCTGGAGTGACGGCAGCACTGAAGACAGAGGCTGGGACGGCTGTGCAGGCAGAGAGGCCCAGAGGCAGAGACCAGCTTGCTGCATGCAGACTGGCTTTGCGTAAATGGAATTTTAGTGATTGACCTGCCACAGTGGAAATAAAGTTGGGTATAGCACTTTCACCCCAAGAACATCCTACTGTCATTCTTTTGGTCACATTGAATTCATAGTGAACTTGCCAGGGGCTGAAACCCATTGGCAAGATAATCATGCTTTATTTTTTTATTTTTAAAGTACTTGTCTTCTCATCCCTTTCAGTTACACTTGCCTGTAGCTGTGCCTTTGCTTTGCCGGCAGAGTTTACGTGTTTGGGTTCAGTGGAATTCCTTTCCTTGTTGCCATTTCTGTTTCAGATATAAGGTCTTTACTGCAGATTTTAGATAAAGTGATCCCAATGTGAAGTGTAGCTTTGTCACCATTAAGGAAAAAAAAAGCAGTGTCACAAATTTAACCCCAAACTAGTGACATCCCTTCAAAAACAATTGTTTGTTTTGGGAACAGCTTGGGGGTGGTACTGCGTGATTTAAACGTGGCATACAACTTCAAGCAGTGCAAAGTAGTCTGAGAGGCTAAGCTATCTTTCAAAACAAGTAAAGTGCTTTGAACTCCTCTGACTTTGAGTTCCTACTACGTATTATTCAAAAGCACGGTTCAGTAAACTTTTTCTGCAAAAAGGCCAGATAGGAAATATTTTAGGTTTTGCAGCCAGATGGTTTCTGTCACAACTACTTAATTCTGCCATTATAGTTGGAAAGCAGCTGAAAATGATACAGAAACAAATGGGTGTGGCTGTATGGACACTAAAATATGATTTTCATAAAACTCTAATGTGCCAGGAAATAGTTTTTTCTTTTTTTTTTGTATCTTGTTTTTGGAGCCATTTGAAAAAAAAACATTCTTAGCTCAGGCCTCACAAAAATGGGGTGGGTGGGTCAAACTTCGGCCAGGACCCCTGGTGTGCCCACCCCTATTCCATTCTAAAAACTCAGTAACTATTTGATGTTAGTCATAAGAGATTTGTCCTACTGAAAACAATTTGAAAACTAAGAATCAATCCAGTACCCCCATTACCTTTTCCCACCCACTGTAGTAGCTCTTTATTTTACCTAAATCAAAAGCCACTGTAAAACAAGCCAAAGTAAGTTCCTTTTCTGAGCACTTGAAGAGTTGCAAAACATCTCTTCATATACAGGGAAAAGGCAGCACCCTGATGTAAGGCACCATGCCTACAATCTACAGAAAGAGGGACAAAGCTATCATGGGAACCCCACATTTACAAAGTAACACAAGGCAGTGGCAGCTTTATATTCAAATGCATACAAAAACTGTAATTTCGCCAAACATCACCATCATGATACAACCTTGCTTAGAGGAAGTGAATAAAAAAGCAAACTTATAGTAAACTAACATGACAAGTGGCTCTTCTCACAATGACTGCTGTTTTACATGGCTACTAAAGATAACATTAACAAAGATTTATTTCTTCCTCGTCACCCTAGACAGTATTCCCTCAATAATTTTTTTTTCCTTAATAAAGATGTTTTCTTTGAAAAAGCCATCACAGTATTAAAAGTTATATGGGAAATACCCCAGTCTGTAATACCTCCTTTTATTTTTAAACAGACCTTCCCTCTGAAAAGATAAAAGTGTATTGTATTCTTTCTTCCATTCTCATAAGATTCCTATGTAGATGGTGCCGTATCTTTTTTCAATCTTAAAGTGGACAGATGTTAAATTGTTTGCTGGAAATAATGCAGAGTCCTTGGCGGAGCAGAGAATGAAGGCCACATTGCTGAGTTACCCTCCAAAGGCTTCTTCCAAATAAGGAAACCATTTCCATTCAGGAAATGAAACCCTGTACTTTCTGGGATGAGAAGATTCTGACCTGAGTACATCTGTGTTCCTGTATTACAAGGTTGACTACCAAAGAACTCTGTAAGGCCTATCATTACCATTCTGGACAAGCAGGGGTTGGCTATACTGATGGATGGAGTGACACTTATCTCAGTGATTTGCCATCAGCAGTGCTAAGAGAGCCTAAAAGCAAAAGTACAGCATGTCTAATATCTACCTGAAAGTGAAATATGATCCACAACTGCAATTCATTTTTGGAGTCTGGTACTTTTTCAGAAAATATTTTTCTACTAATTAAGTATACCAACTTCACTCTGAAAATTATCTGAACCTCTGCCACAAAACCAGTGCCCTGTTACTATATGGAACATCAAACTGTCAAATAATGGGTCAGTGTAAAACCAGCTGAGTGTGTATCTTTGATTCAGAACAGCATTCTGAAGTCCACAAAACTCTATTTGAATTAATACACTCAATTCTATTTTATCAATGACAATTCATTGATTTGCTATTTTATAAACCAAGAGGCACCTTTCTCATTTAGTTTATCCTTAAGTGCCCTTTGCACTAATTTCCTAAATGTACTCTTGTTGTTTTGCATGAAAACAGACTTCCTGAAGAACCACAGTGCAACCCGAATACCAATAATGAGACATCGATCCTGACCTTTTTTTTTAAACAGGAACTGCAGTCTTTCCTAAAAAAGGCAGGGAGGAGTATCTAGGAAATAACTATCTATCTACTGAAGATGTAAACTCGTATTTTGATATTTAAGTGGATATGATGTTGAGATTGTTCATGAGCTGCATCAGTGGTGGAAAATTCCTCTAAGGAAAAGCAAACATGTTCCTTCCTTATAACCTTGTTCTTATTCCTGTTCTATCTTTAAAACACTACTACTTAGAAAGTAATAAAATGTATCATCATTCTTCACAATGTTTCCCCAATACTGTGACGCAGTTGTCGACTTTCTGTGCCCAGGAAACACTGATGTAGAGCCCCAGTCGCTGGGCACTGCGATTCTTTTTTTCTTTTTTTTTTAGAGGGATAAAGAATATTTATTGAACATTTGCAGTAAACCAAACATTTTATAAACACAATTACATTTTCACAATGATTAGGCACTATTATAAATTCCTATTAGGCACTATTATAAATTTTACTGATGAGAAAAGTGGGCCTCAAATAGAGTAAGACAGCTGTCTATAGTGACATTAGTTTGGATCACTGACAGGTAACCCAGGTCAGAGTCTGTCTCCCCCTACACCTCACCCCAGGGCCAGTCAATGAATAGTTCTTCAATTTAGCATAAATGCACTCTGAAGGAAAGGCATGGTGATTACTAAATGATATGAAGAACAGCGCTGGGTAAAAACAATGGAGAGAGTGGTTGTAAAAATAAATCTGAAGAGTAGTGTTGGCAAAGTTGAAAAGTAAGATACAGGTCTGTCCTGTTTTGGGCTGCATTTCACAGTTTTCAAAATATCACAATACAAGCTAGAATTCTACTTCTGTTTACTGCAGGGCAAACTCTCATCCATTTAGTAATGCACCCCAGAATACTAAATCATTGTTTTACAAGACCTCTATGCATACGGTACTATTGTTGCTCATTACCAAACAATTACCAAAATAATCATTTGGCTTTAACCCAAGGGGACTATAAACAAACCCTTGGAGGTGGAGAGAGAGTAGGACTAAGGGATAGCTCAAGTAACACAGTGATTCACCTGTACAGGTGTGTGGGGGGGAGTGGGTGTTACAGTGTTCCTGGAAGATATCACAAGGCCTAGACTGGGACTATACTGACAACTAAGTGTGTGACCTTGTGCAAGTCAAGATGGATTGTTCAAAGACTTGATCTCATGGATAAAACGATGGGATTTTGTTGAACTATCTTTGAGATACTTTACAGGGTCCAAACACCAGTTTATAAATATTTTCGCCCAAGTGTCTGTACTTCACTTAGTTTCTGGGAAAATTCAGCCTCCATTCATCTAATCCAGCACAGTAAGGGCACCCTGGAGCAGGCCTCCTTTCCACCTGGACTCTCCTGCGTCGTTGGGCGTCCATCTGAGTGAGTCGGGGGAAAGAGGCGCTTTGAAATTGAAGGGTGGCCTCGAATGCCTAAAGTTGAAAAACTGCTGAATCAGGATGCCCCTATTTTGCCAGATCACTGGCAATCGGATGCTCCCTTCCCTCACCCCTCCTGTACTCTGCCAAGAAACTGGATCGGCCTGTCTACTCAGAGGTCAACTGCGAAGAGCAGACTGATGTCACTCAGTTGTCCTACAACCGCCCCAAGGTAGAAAAGCGCCGAAACACCTCTGCATCCTCAAAAGAGAGGGCATCCTCCGGAAGGTGACCCCTTAAGGCATTACTATCTGTGCAGCCTCGGCCTGCGGGACGCGGTCAGGAGGAAGGCGAGCGCGCTCGGGGCGCTGGAGAGTGTCCGTCGCCCCCTCGCCTCGCCACGCCCCGCGGTGGCCAGGATCGCACGGACGCGAGCTGGCCGGTCCGGGGGAGGGTATCCCGCAAAGAAAGACAGCAGCTCAGGAAGCCCCTGCAGTCGCCCTGGCCGAAGCACTTAGGGACCAGTTGCCCAGAGTTGCGGCGGCAACCCCCGCGTCCTGTTCGCGGCCACCGCGCGGGCTTCCGCCTTCCCGGAGGCTGCCCGGGCGAGTCAGCGCAGGGGGCGCCGGGCAGGGCCGGGCCGGGGCGCGGGGCCTCCTACCTGTGGTGGACAGCACGGTGCTGGCGAAGAAGAGCGCCGAGGTGAAGTCCCAGTTCCAGTTGCCCGACGCGTTGCTGAGCACCGACACGCCGTAGTTGCTGGCCTCCAGCACCCGGCCCAGGAACTGCTCGAGCTGCTGCTCAGACAGGCACTCGTGCTGCTCCAGGAAGCGCCGCTTCAGCTTGCGCAGCTCCTGGCGCAGCAGGTCCTCGTAGGGCAGCTCCACCGACGAGAAAACCACGGCGCCGAAGACCAGGTAGAGCAGGTAGCCGAGCACCAGGAAGCCGAAGCACCAGGCCGAGCGGTGCCGCTCCACCAGGCGCACGCACGAGCTGCCGGCCAGGGACTGCAGCATCTTCCCCGTTGTCTCCGCCGCTGCTGTTGTTACTTTTTATTCTGCATGCCTTTGTTTTCCCTGCAGCACTCCCTGACTGTGTTTGTATTGACTGTGCATTACCTAGGTCTCTGAGGCCCCTGGGAGCTTTCTGTTGAAAAGCTCAGCACCAGGTACCAATAAATAAAGCTGCAAAGGCTTCAGAGTGCAGGCTTTTATTTCACAAAGCAAGTCAACCTTAACCAGAGTGGCCAACGCAAACAGAATCTGGTCTGGATCAAGCATACAGTAAATAGCTAAAAAACACTGACAATGTCTAACACAAAACCAATCAATGTGTCTCGCAGAAGAATTGATTCTGTTCTACAGATTAAAGAAGGGAAATATGAACACCAACAGAAAATATTAGACAAGCCCTACTGGTCTGATTCATTCTCAGGGAGACAATCACACAGTCCTCTCAGAAGTACTCCCTCTACACCTCCGAATCCTGCTTCACCCCTAATCCACTCTGAATGAATACAGAAGGCAGACTGCAAACTGAGTACAGGAGGGGCATCAAGAAGACACCCCCAAAGTTGCCTGCATTCCAGCCAGGATGACCACTTGATGGCAATCGATCTTCTCAGGCTTGAGGGTTGTTATAATTTGTTAGAACTGGTTAGAATATACAGTGGATATCCTCAGGTTTGAGGGTTATTATAATTTGTTGTAATTTTTGTTACTTGTATATTGTCATGGATGGAATTTGCTTACAATGCTCCAGCTTTCCCGCATGGACCACTGCAGAGGATTGAGGGCACATAAATTGAGAGGAGAGAATCCTGGAGGGGTGGAGTGTGGATAAAGTGAAGGTGCCTGTGGCCAGGATTCTCACCTGTCCCTGGTTGGCTAGCTCACTACACAGGTGTGGGCAATGTGTCATTATTGACTCTATATAAAGAGCTCTACCTAGTGCTCTGGGCAACACGGTGGCATGGCTGCAAGACAGCAGAGGCTGGAGTGACGGCAGCACTGAAGACAGAGGCTGGGACGGCTGTGCAGGCAGAGAGGCCCAGAGGCAGAGACCAGCTTGCTGCATGCAGACTGGCTTTGCGTAAATGGAATTTTAGTGATTGACCTGCCACAGTGGAAATAAAGTTGGGTATAGCACTTTCACCCCAAGAACATCCTACTGTCATTCTTTTGGTCACATTGAATTCATAGTGAACTTGCCAGGGGCTGAAACCCATTGGCAAGATAATCATGCTTTATTTTTTTATTTTTAAAGTACTTGTCTTCTCATCCCTTTCAGTTACACTTGCCTGTAGCTGTGCCTTTGCTTTGCCGGCAGAGTTTACGTGTTTGGGTTCAGTGGAATTCCTTTCCTTGTTGCCATTTCTGTTTCAGATATAAGGTCTTTACTGCAGATTTTAGATAAAGTGATCCCAATGTGAAGTGTAGCTTTGTCACCATTAAGGAAAAAAAAAGCAGTGTCACAAATTTAACCCCAAACTAGTGACATCCCTTCAAAAACAATTGTTTGTTTTGGGAACAGCTTGGGGGTGGTACTGCGTGATTTAAACGTGGCATACAACTTCAAGCAGTGCAAAGTAGTCTGAGAGGCTAAGCTATCTTTCAAAACAAGTAAAGTGCTTTGAACTCCTCTGACTTTGAGTTCCTACTACGTATTATTCAAAAGCACGGTTCAGTAAACTTTTTCTGCAAAAAGGCCAGATAGGAAATATTTTAGGTTTTGCAGCCAGATGGTTTCTGTCACAACTACTTAATTCTGCCATTATAGTTGGAAAGCAGCTGAAAATGATACAGAAACAAATGGGTGTGGCTGTATGGACACTAAAATATGATTTTCATAAAACTCTAATGTGCCAGGAAATAGTTTTTTCTTTTTTTTTTGTATCTTGTTTTTGGAGCCATTTGAAAAAAAAACATTCTTAGCTCAGGCCTCACAAAAATGGGGTGGGTGGGTCAAACTTCGGCCAGGACCCCTGGTGTGCCCACCCCTATTCCATTCTAAAAACTCAGTAACTATTTGATGTTAGTCATAAGAGATTTGTCCTACTGAAAACAATTTGAAAACTAAGAATCAATCCAGTACCCCCATTACCTTTTCCCACCCACTGTAGTAGCTCTTTATTTTACCTAAATCAAAAGCCACTGTAAAACAAGCCAAAGTAAGTTCCTTTTCTGAGCACTTGAAGAGTTGCAAAACATCTCTTCATATACAGGGAAAAGGCAGCACCCTGATGTAAGGCACCATGCCTACAATCTACAGAAAGAGGGACAAAGCTATCATGGGAACCCCACATTTACAAAGTAACACAAGGCAGTGGCAGCTTTATATTCAAATGCATACAAAAACTGTAATTTCGCCAAACATCACCATCATGATACAACCTTGCTTAGAGGAAGTGAATAAAAAAGCAAACTTATAGTAAACTAACATGACAAGTGGCTCTTCTCACAATGACTGCTGTTTTACATGGCTACTAAAGATAACATTAACAAAGATTTATTTCTTCCTCCTTGTCACCCTAGACAGTATTCCCTCAATAATTTTTTTTTCCTTAATAAAGATGTTTTCTTTGAAAAAGCCATCACAGTATTAAAAGTTATATGGGAAATACCCCAGTCTGTAATACCTCCTTTTATTTTTAAACAGACCTTCCCTCTGAAAAGATAAAAGTGTATTGTATTCTTTCTTCCATTCTCATAAGATTCCTATGTAGATGGTGCCGTATCTTTTTTCAATCTTAAAGTGGACAGATGTTAAATTGTTTGCTGGAAATAATGCAGAGTCCTTGGCGGAGCAGAGAATGAAGGCCACATTGCTGAGTTACCCTCCAAAGGCTTCTTCCAAATAAGGAAACCATTTCCATTCAGGAAATGAAACCCTGTACTTTCTGGGATGAGAAGATTCTGACCTGAGTACATCTGTGTTCCTGTATTACAAGGTTGACTACCAAAGAACTCTGTAAGGCCTATCATTACCATTCTGGACAAGCAGGGGTTGGCTATACTGATGGATGGAGTGACACTTATCTCAGTGATTTGCCATCAGCAGTGCTAAGAGAGCCTAAAAGCAAAAGTACAGCATGTCTAATATCTACCTGAAAGTGAAATATGATCCACAACTGCAATTCATTTTTGGAGTCTGGTACTTTTTCAGAAAATATTTTTCTACTAATTAAGTATACCAACTTCACTCTGAAAATTATCTGAACCTCTGCCACAAAACCAGTGCCCTGTTACTATATGGAACATCAAACTGTCAAATAATGGGTCAGTGTAAAACCAGCTGAGTGTGTATCTTTGATTCAGAACAGCATTCTGAAGTCCACAAAACTCTATTTGAATTAATACACTCAATTCTATTTTATCAATGACAATTCATTGATTTGCTATTTTATAAACCAAGAGGCACCTTTCTCATTTAGTTTATCCTTAAGTGCCCTTTGCACTAATTTCCTAAATGTACTCTTGTTGTTTTGCATGAAAACAGACTTCCTGAAGAACCACAGTGCAACCCGAATACCAATAATGAGACATCGATCCTGACCTTTTTTTTTAAACAGGAACTGCAGTCTTTCCTAAAAAAGGCAGGGAGGAGTATCTAGGAAATAACTATCTATCTACTGAAGATGTAAACTCGTATTTTGATATTTAAGTGGATATGATGTTGAGATTGTTCATGAGCTGCATCAGTGGTGGAAAATTCCTCTAAGGAAAAGCAAACATGTTCCTTCCTTATAACCTTGTTCTTATTCCTGTTCTATCTTTAAAACACTACTACTTAGAAAGTAATAAAATGTATCATCATTCTTCACAATGTTTCCCCAATACTGTGACGCAGTTGTCGACTTTCTGTGCCCAGGAAACACTGATGTAGAGCCCCAGTCGCTGGGCACTGCGATTCTTTTTTTCTTTTTTTTTTAGAGGGATAAAGAATATTTATTGAACATTTGCAGTAAACCAAACATTTTATAAACACAATTACATTTTCACAATGATTAGGCACTATTATAAATTCCTATTAGGCACTATTATAAATTTTACTGATGAGAAAAGTGGGCCTCAAATAGAGTAAGACAGCTGTCTATAGTGACATTAGTTTGGATCACTGACAGGTAACCCAGGTCAGAGTCTGTCTCCCCCTACACCTCACCCCAGGGCCAGTCAATGAATAGTTCTTCAATTTAGCATAAATGCACTCTGAAGGAAAGGCATGGTGATTACTAAATGATATGAAGAACAGCGCTGGGTAAAAACAATGGAGAGAGTGGTTGTAAAAATAAATCTGAAGAGTAGTGTTGGCAAAGTTGAAAAGTAAGATACAGGTCTGTCCTGTTTTGGGCTGCATTTCACAGTTTTCAAAATATCACAATACAAGCTAGAATTCTACTTCTGTTTACTGCAGGGCAAACTCTCATCCATTTAGTAATGCACCCCAGAATACTAAATCATTGTTTTACAAGACCTCTATGCATACGGTACTATTGTTGCTCATTACCAAACAATTACCAAAATAATCATTTGGCTTTAACCCAAGGGGACTATAAACAAACCCTTGGAGGTGGAGAGAGAGTAGGACTAAGGGATAGCTCAAGTAACACAGTGATTCACCTGTACAGGTGTGTGGGGGGGAGTGGGTGTTACAGTGTTCCTGGAAGATATCACAAGGCCTAGACTGGGACTATACTGACAACTAAGTGTGTGACCTTGTGCAAGTCAAGATGGATTGTTCAAAGACTTGATCTCATGGATAAAACGATGGGATTTTGTTGAACTATCTTTGAGATACTTTACAGGGTCCAAACACCAGTTTATAAATATTTTCGCCCAAGTGTCTGTACTTCACTTAGTTTCTGGGAAAATTCAGCCTCCATTCATCTAATCCAGCACAGTAAGGGCACCCTGGAGCAGGCCTCCTTTCCACCTGGACTCTCCTGCGTCGTTGGGCGTCCATCTGAGTGAGTCGGGGGAAAGAGGCGCTTTGAAATTGAAGGGTGGCCTCGAATGCCTAAAGTTGAAAAACTGCTGAATCA